CCCCAAAACCCCAAAACCCCAAAACCCCAAAACCCCTAAATTTTAAAATCAAATTGAAAATTAAATTACAAAAACTCAAAATGGTCCTTTGAAGGTTCTTTATGGAGAATAGGTAACCACTCCTGACTTTAAGATTCCAGGCGAACCTTGGCTATAGATCGTTTAAAAATTTGATCATCCAAAACACAGACTTTTATTATCCCTATCTGATAATGCAAGCAAGGCAATTATTCCAGATAGATCAAGAGACTTTATTCGCTCTCAAAATAAGAATATGGTAAGATTTAGCATCAAAACTTTAGACCTCAACCCTCGATGGTAATCACTAGACTTCTGATTGAAAAAGTCCTAAATTTATCAAAATTTGTAGAAAGATACTGACAAAAGTGAAAATTATAAATTCTCTGAAAATCACACTGAGATTGGCATCAAGGTAAGTGCCAGACCACTTCTTTCGATATAGTCAGAGTTTGGAAGCACAAATAAATTTGATAAGGTTGTTTTGATCAAAGACGACTCTATCCTGGCAAAAGTTCGAGCGGGGTAATTTTAATTGAAATCTTTAGAAAGAATGTTAATAAAAGAGCTAAGACACAGGCAGGGAGAAGAATTAGGAATAAAAATAAAAGTAACTTTGAGCATTTATCATTTTAGCTCCAAGTTGTTCAACTCATGACATCCTGAATCAATCAACTAGCACAGCTAATGATACTTCTCAAATAGATGTTCACATAGTCACGGATCCAGAACTAATTAAAAAGTCCCTTACATGGAAGATGGTCAATTCAAATACTAAAGAGAATAGTAAACTTCAAGATATCAAATCAGCTTACAGGTATTTTGACCTTATGAAATGCTTTAGAAAGCCGATCAGATTGGTAAAGCTCAAAATAGACAACACTCAGGAATTTAAAATCCATCCTATGGCTTTATCAAAATTCGTGAATGATGCTATAAAGGACCAAAAATGGAAAGACAAGCTGATTCAGTATCACATAGCGTTCAGCAAGAATAGCTTAAACCTTAAGCCAAGTTGGGATTTCCAGCGTGAAAATAAAGGTGCTATCCTCCACAAAGACCTCACCTCTTTAAAAGAATTCGAAGATACTAAAAGAGTCATCACGGATTATTTTGATTCGCTCGATTCCATCCTGCAGAATATTGAGAAGTCAATTTTTCCTTTAGCAAAGACAGCCTTGCAGATGGGAAATAACAGCATACTCAAAGATGTGTATAATCTGGAGTCTACCACTCTTAAATAAGAATAATGAGTAAGCTTGGAGGTATAGTGTAGGTACTATGGCAACACAAAGGCCATCCCATCCGATAGGGGTGCAAGTAAGCTATCTATGCTTATAATCCTATAGCAAAAATCTTTAAGAAGCTTCAAACAAAAGGGTCTAAATATTATGGAGACCTGCTGAGTGTTGATAGCGAGAACACGAACCATAGAAGTATCGATGTGGGGGACAGGACATTTGCAGGGAAATCCCTTGAGAGTTGCTTCCAAGTAACAAAGAAGTAGCCTAAATAGTATAAAGTTTAGAAAGTCAATCTCCAAGATCTCCTCGAGATACTCCAGAAAGCATGTAGCAGATAGTAAGACTGATGACTAATGCCTGATTTAGAGAACTATGATCACTTCAGAACCTCTGTAGGCTTCGGAGCCAAGTTTAAGATGAATTTAAGAAAAATAAGACAGAATAAGAGAAAAGAAAGCAAACACTTGAAGGGGTAAAATTCAAAATTTGGTTACGGTCTTGGGGTTTTGGGGTTTTGGGGTTTTGGGG